CCATTCTCAAGATTAACATTTTCCCAAAGTCTATGCGAAAGAAATTTCTCATATGACTTGATTTCCAAGACCTCAAATCAGTCTTGACTCACCTGCAAAATACCTGGACAATCCAATTCATTTTTTCCGGGCAGAATTTTTTGAAGTGGTTTGCTCTTGCTTTTTTTCTAGACTGAGTGTGTGGCCTAAAATCACTCAGCTAGCTTCATATCTAAGGTGGGACTAGAACTCACTGTCTTTTGGTTTCCAGTTTGGTGCCTTCACCACAACACCAAACTGGCTTGCTCTTCACATAATTGGAATGAAATACAGAAATAAAATACTCCATTTTTTTTTTTTTTTGTATATTGACCCCATGGTGTAACATCACCCAAGGGTATTCCTTTCTTTCAAGATTGTGGGAAGACATGCAAATTAAAGGGGCTAGAACATGGGAAATGTAGCACAGTGAGTTAAAGATTGCACACAATTACAACTCACTTTATGGATCTTTAGAATCGGACCTAGCCCCAAGATGTACTGGATTAGTCTAGTAGCTATATAATATAACAAATGTTATAGACTGACATCTATTTCAGCTAATTTTGCTCACTTGAAAAAAAAAAACTTGTATGATGATGGGAATAGCAGGTAAATAGGGTAATCAGAACAATTCCTGCCTGAGACAATAAGGTTAAAATACCTAAAGTTGCCTTAGTGCTATTTTGGGGTTAGTGCTAAGGATTGGATACATGTGACTCTATTAAAGCAAGCATGAAAACGCAATTCAGGCAAGGCTGCTAGTCTGGCTACCTTTAAGGCAAATCAATAAAAATGCTTGATATTCCTTACCAGCAGCACTTTTGATTGTGGAGACATGAAAGGAATGCACACTTATGTGGGAGCGCAAATAAACACACATACCTGGTTGATCCCTTTGTTCCTGAAATTTTTAAAAGCAAATATTTATTTATTTAAAACATTTATATAGCTGCCCATCTTATAACCAACTCTCTATCGTATGTATTCATGCAATATTTATTGCTATATAAATGTTTTAAGTGTACTGCCTAAAAGTCACTGTGTTCTCTGTGTTATCAGTGGTATGTGTTGGTGGCATGTCACTGCACTAATTTTTGGGAGTACCTCTTTACAGAAAACGCTGCACTTCTCACTTCTCATTTATCTACAAAAATCTGCCCTGCTTGAAGCCAGTTTTAATCAAATTGCAATGTAAATGCAGTTGGATGGCTGCAAAAACACAGTTTTTGATCTCTACAATTTCCATTACCTCTTTGCACCTAACATTCAGGCTTGCACTTCCAATCCCCAGTTCGCTGAGGATTTGCAAATGTGATTTGCTTCACCAGAATTTTTGCCTTACCAATACAAGCCGGGTCCAGACAATACTTGGATCCCTAAACCTGGGTTATGTGTTCACCTCATATGCTACGTCCAGATAAATCATCTTATTGATGCGATGGCTTGGTTCACCTAATATGCTGAATCAACAACATGAAGAGAGCCTCTACCAAGCTTAAGGATTTGAAGTATTTTTTTTATTGCCTGGATAAATCTTAGATAATGCCTCTTGATTTAAACAGAAAAAATGGCAGGCATTTGCAAACATGGGATGAACATCCTTCTCTTAAGGGCTGGGCAATAGAGACTTGCGTCGAGTCTCATGGGTCAGGTCACCGAAGGAAGCATTTCTTAGAAGCGCTAAACTCTTAAGTACTGTCGCTCAGGCTCTAAAGGTATTGCTAAAGCTCTTCCAATGAGAGGCAGGAGTGCAATTCAGGAGAGGAAGGAGCTAAAACTTTCTTCTCTTCAAGCTGACAGGGCTGGAAGGCTTCAAAGAAGCAAAGAAGGCAAGAAACAGATTTGTCAGATTGGGTCTAGGACTCAACCGTTCTGCCCAAAGCTTGGGAGAACTGGAACCAGGAAGATAAAGATAAGATGGCTTTGGGGTGGAGTTCCATCAGTACGCTGATGATACTCAGCTGTACATCTCCACCCCAGGCCATCCCAACGATGCCCTTGAAGTGATGTCCCGGTGCCTGGAGGCCGTGCGGACCTGGATGGGGAGTAACAGGCTTCGACTCAACCCTTCCAAGACTGAGTGGCTGTGGCTTCCGGCGTCCCGATATAGCCAGCTGGTGCCATCGCTGGCTATTGGGGGCGAGTTATTGGCCCCCACGGATAGGGCTTGCAACTTGGGTGTCCTCCTGGATGCACGGCTGTCTTTAGAAAAGCATATGATGGCCATGGCCTGGGGGGCTTTTTATCAGGTCCGCCTGATTTGCCAGTTGTGTCCCTTTCTGGATCGGGACTCCCTACGCACAGTCACTCAGGCGCTTGTCACTTCCCGCCTGGACTACTGCAATGCTCTCTACATGGGGCTCCCCTTGAGGAGCACCCGGAGGCTCCAACTGGTGCAGAATGCGGCCGCGCGGGGGATTATGGGAGCAAGGGGCTGCTCCCATGTGACACCTCTCCTGCGTGAGCTGCATTGGCTTCCAGTGGTCTTCCGGGTGCGCTTCAAGGTGTTGGTCACCACCTTTAAAGCGCTCCATGGCATGGGACCTGGGTATTTGCGGGACCGCCTTATGCTGCCAATAGCCTCCCACCCACCAGTATGCTCCCACAGAGAGGGACTCCTCAGGGTGCCGTCAGCCAGGCAATGTCGGCTGGCGACCCCCAGGGGGAGGGCCTTCTCTGTGGCAGCTCCTGCCCTCTGGAACAATTTGCCCCCAGAGATATGAAGGATATCGGATCTCCGGGTTTTTCGCCATGCCTTAAAAACTTTTCTTTTCCATCAAGCAGGGCTGGCATGAAACACCCCCCCCCTTTTTTTTTTAGTTTTTAGCTTTTTAAATTGTCAAAGGGGTTTTAGTTTTCAATGTTTTAAATTTTTGAGCCACAGTTATTTAATTTTTTAAATAATTTTAAATTTTGTATTGATATGAGTTTTAGTTCTGGCTGTGCACCACCGAGTCCACTTGGAGAAGGGTGGGATATAAATTGAATAAATAAATAAATAAATAAATAAATAAATAAATAAATAAATAAAGAAAGAAAGAAAGAAAGAAAGAAAGAAAGAAAGAAAGAAAGAGGAAAATAGACAGTAATTTCTTCAGGGTTACAGAGTGGTATAGCTTCTCATTTGTTATCATTCTATTCCTTTTTTCTTTATTTATTGGCTTAGTTTTATAAATACTAGCTTTGCTATGCTGATCTCACCCCAGGTATTTGATACAATTGAAGTACTTTCTCTGGTCTTTCCTTCATTATTGTGATCCTTTATTCTTTGTTACTCCAATGTTTGTACTTATACTCCAAAATATCTGGACCTGGCAATTTTAGCTATGTGGTTAAAGTTTAGGTTTAGAGACTAAGGTATAGTTTCACCTTTTATTTAAAAGTTTGCTCTTAGGTAAGGAGAATCATCTTCCCTTTCATTTCTGGAGCATAAAACTACCTGCCTACCTCAAATCTCTTCAGCTGGGGAAACAACCAGACAACACAGACTACACAGGAAGATATCTGCCGGGTTTGTTAGCATTGTCTTCCCTCCTTCCTTCCTTCCTTCCTTCCTTCCTTCCTTCCTTCCTCCCTCCCTCCCTCCCTCCCTCCCTCCCTCATTCCTTCCAGAGCTTTATGTGGCATCAGATCGGTAGAAGTAAAATGAGAACATATAGAGGCACTACAATTATGCCCGTGTGTACATATGTCGTGTGTACATACATATGTCATAAACCATCCATGGATGGTTTATTTCAAGGTAACTTTGACCAAAATCTAAGAACAAAGGCTTCTTATTTAATGATAATTCTACTGTCATTTTCGTTAACAGATCAAAAAGCTTCTTAAAATGCTTGGTCTGCTGGAAATGATAGATCTACTTACTTTACTAAAGGAGGAGGATCCCATTTGCTAGCTTCGAAGTTTGCCTGCCTAAGAGAGATGTCGTAGCAACCGTGGTCTGGCCTAGACCAAGCGGTCTCTCCCTTTCTTTTTCTGGCCAGAGTTAGGCTCTGTTTTGAAAAGAAATCCTTTCACAGGAGCTCAGGCCTTTGAGGACTTAGCTACGGTTATATTGTGCTTGGCTGCCCTGTAGAATATTTGTTAATGGGGACCTTGGATTACCGAGTCTATTCTCAAGCCAAAATTTGCACTTTAAAGGGTGGCTTGAGGAGCTTTGCATAAAAGCTTTGGATTCCATTATTGCAAAATGTATCAGAAAAGTGTTGAGCTAGGTAATTACCGTAATCCAACTGAAATGGTTGGTCACAGTGTACATTAGAAGAGCGTCCAGAGTCAGAGACTTGAACAAGCAGTCAACCCGAACAAAATGAGCTCAGCCACGGAGGGCCAGATTTCTTAATTAGTTCTCAGTGGCGAAAACAGTTTAATGTTTCCCAAAGTCAAGTGTGAATTTGACAAGCAACACAATTTAAGAGGATTCAGTAAGGTTGAATTAAACCTGGCCTAGTCTCCCACTGTCACATGCCGAGTCCAAAGCTAACTTCATTTATTCCTCTCCGTTAGTGTTCCAGCAAAATTTTTGTAGATTGAACCATAATATGAGGAAAAGAACAGTATGATTGACTTAGATAACACTAAGCTCTCCTGTTTAAAATAAACATCGGGCTCTTATTGCAGCAAAGCAAGTATAGAATATCCCTTTTTTTCGGTGGAGCGATATATTCCAATGTAGTCTAATTGGTTGAACTGGTAGGCACACCATTAATACAATGAATAGGATTTGTAAGGATGCTCAGTGGTCACCTAGTGATTATTTTCTTTCTGATGTTATTGTTTTCCAGGTTAGAAAATCTCTTGGTTTCATGTTGCTAAATATTTATTAGGCACAGCTTGAGGTACACAGGGTAAGATATACTCATGCTAAATAACTAACTTCAATAAAAGGAAACAATCTGTACAGGATGTGAAAGTCTTGGATGGTACAGGCCACAATGCAGAGAAATGTGCTTCAAAATGTATTTTAGATACAACTCTGCTTTAAAATCTATTTTATTTTAAAATCTCAATTAATTTTGACCCTCCTTAATTTAACGGATTTTACAATCCTGAGAAATCACAATGATGGTGTGTTTTCTGGGAACTCTGGCTTTTTAGATTTGAACTTTAGAAGTATTTTTAATAAAAAGTTGAACTTTGGAGTAGTTATTTTCAAGACTTCGTGCCAACTCCCCATTAGCCTATTTTTCAATATCAATGGAGTTTTGAGATAGCTACTGCTGTTCCAAAGAGCTTTAAAGATCTTCACTCAGGCTTTTGTCAAGGATGATTGAAACTCTTCCTTCTTTTTGGCTTCCCTTGGTTTTATTTTCTTCGCCTTCACTGTTCTGTAGTGGGTGTGTGGGCACGCGAGTGCATGTGCACACGTGTGTGCAATTGAGAAGACACTCTTCCAACTCCAGATCTATCCAGTTTGGTCACAGGAGGCTAGAAAATTGTAGAAAATGTTATATTCGATGTTATGATATATACACTTGAGGAAGCTGGCATTCATTATACGGATAGCCTTAAAAATACATATATTCACTTGAAAAATAAATGGAATCTTGGAGTATATTCCTTTGTAGTAAGTAAATGGATTGCTATGCCTATCACTCATGGTCTAGAGCAGGGGTTTTCAAACTTTTTCAGACTGTGGAACATTTTAATTTTAAAAAACCCCGAATCACTGATCAAGGGACAAAACTCTGATAATAAAAATGTTCAATGTCTGAGTGAATTCCCCCCCCCCTTAGTTCTCAAGGAAGCCCATCAACTTCTAGGGCTTCGGGAAAAAAAGAAGAGCTAAAGCCATGGCATTGCCCTAAACATATAATCTGGAAGATGCAAGACGGAAACTCTTTGAAATAATAACTTCTAGCACATCTTTTGGGTTAGCAGTCAAACAAACCAAAGAAAAAAGCAATAGGTTTCATCATGTTTCATCAAGAGAAATGAACAAAGTGGGAGAAAATTCTTTGAAAAGAACAAAAGCAACACTGGAAGGAAACATTGGTTCAAATTATTACCAAATTTACCAGCCCTTTCTGATATTTCTGCCTCTTAAATGGAAAATTATAATTTAAATTCCTTCCTTCCTTCCTTCCTTCCTTCCTTCCTTCCTTCCTTCCTTCCTTCCTTCCTTCCTTCTTTCCTTCCTTCCCTCCTTCCCTTCCCTTCCCTCCCCTCCCCTCCCTTCCCTTCCTTTTCTCCCTCCCTTCCCATAAAAAGGACTTTCTGGAAAGTACTTCTTTCTTTATAATAATTTAAAAGTTCCATGTGAAGAAAAATATTAAAATCTATGGTTCTTTGTCTCATTTGCAAGGACTTTGGGCATGCAAGATATTTTACTTAAGTGGCATGATTAAGACAAGTAGTTTCCCTTTTGACTTTAGATGCCTTTCTGAAGGGGTGTTCTTTTTTGCTAGGCAAAACCAATAAAATAATATTTATTAGTTACTAGAACTATGCCACATATGTAATTTGGACAATGCAAGTAAGCGTATACTCCTATGAATATCATATTTCCGAACTGTGATCAGGAGAAATTAAAAATTCCCATATCCGAACACCATCACAGAACATCTCTGCTTCTAAAATGGCGGCTAACCAGAATTACTGAGGGGAATTACTAAATTGAACTGTAATGAGGGAAATGGCTACTAAAGATGATTAAACCTGATTTCTGTAAGATTTACCATTCATATGTACATAGAAGATTGCTGTTCAGTAAAAATGTTACTGCTGATTCTGTTTCTTACATGAGGTGGACTGCAAACTTCTATGTTTTGACCAGTAAATCTTACAGTATAAATACACATAGCATCTCATGTTTTAAACAGAGAATTTTCTCTCCCAAGTTAATTTCAGAAGGTATTCCATTCCTATTTTATGGAACCAAATTAGCGTAAGTGGAAAACATTTTATACTACTGCATTATGTTATTTTAGGGGTTTTTTTTACATTTTTGTCTTAACCTTTTGTTAAGTATCTTGATTGTATATGTTGGAATGGGGGGTGTAAATAAAGAGACCCTCACAATTAACAAGACATACCATTCTGCAAACTTCATAGCTTTAATATCTCCAACTAAGAAAAACTATTGTAGATGCAGAACCCATTGTAAGACTTCCATCACAAACTCCAACAAATATTAAATTTGATCAAAGACCATGCAGGGTTAAGAGGACTTATTTATTTAAAAAATATTCATATATCAATTCTCAGTGGCTAAGTTCTGAAGCAATTTAATGACAATAATAAAAGCAATATTATAAAGTTATTTTTTTTAAAAAAAATCAAAGGCAAAAATTAGTGCTAGTCTAACACTGGAGAGGTAGAATTTCAAATTCCCTCACAACTATACAATTCATTTGGGTGTTCTGAGATAATTATCCTTCAGCTTAACTTCTTTCACAAAGTTGTTGTATAAATAACACTGCAAAGTAAATACAATGCATGCCTTCGGTTTATAAAATGGAATTTAAGTGCAGTAAAGAAACAAAGTAATCAGTCCAGAAGAAAAACCTAAAGTCTCAAGTCCAGCTTGCTTAGGTAAATAAAGTGTGGATGTGCAGAAATCTTAGACCCAAGAGAACCAGTAATTCATGATTCAGTGTAATATTAGCTACATCTAAAGTTAACCCATACAGTAGATTGTAAAAATGAAACCGATCCTTTCCAAGTATTTTAAATTTGTGTACAACCTAGAAATGAACAAGAATTAGAACACAGAATATAGAACATAGAATAACAGGGTTGGACTTGGAAGGGACCTTGGAGGCAATGAATCTTTTTTATTTACACTCCTTAAACTCTTGATTTTCTAGGGCTTTAGATTATGGCTTCCTTGAGAATTCAGATTGAGCTCTTGATTATTTTTTTTATGTTTGTTTGTTTATTTGTTTGTTTGTTTATTAGTCCAATTTATATGCCGCTCTTCTCCATAGATTCAGGGCGGCTTACAATGCATTATAGCAATAGCCTGCATACTTTTTTGTATATACCTGCTTATTCGACCCTACCAAGCGGTGTTGTTCTATACAAAGTTGGCTTATTGTCCCCACAATCCGGGTCCTCAATTTACCTACCTCGAAAGGATGGAAGGCTGAGTCAACCTTGAGCCTGGTGAGATTCGAACTTGCACTAATTGCAGGCAGTTGGCAGCTAAGTGCTATCACTTAACTTTTAAATGGAAATTTTAAATCTGGTTTTAAATTATTGGGGTTTTAAATTTGTTCAGCCAAATTATTTAATTCGTTTTAATCTATTTTAAATTTTGTATTTATATGTTTTATTCTACGGCTGTTCACCGCCCTGAGTCCTTCGGGAGTAGGGCGGTATACAAATTCAATAAAATAAAATAAAATAAAATAAAAAACAGCACTTTAGTCCGCTGCACCACCGAGGCACTTTAGCCTTAAACATTGACAACAAATGTCCTTCACTTTCTTTGTGCCAATATTTCCTTTCTAATGAATGTTTGGCATGTGGATGCATAGAATGGAGAAAGAATTAGCAAACTCCGAATCAGCAAACTTTTTCCATCCTTTTTCCTTATTATTATCTTTACAACAATCAAGCTTTTCTTCTTCATTTCTTTTTTACTACTTCAATTTTTCTCTACTTCATTTCTTTGTTTCTTTACTCATCAAGATATTAAGCAGTTTAAGTGGGAATGATTTGGTCCAATTGCTTTATAACTCTGGCAACAATTTAATTGGCTAGAATCAAAGTGAATATAATAAATAGGATGAATCTGAAAGAATTTATCTAAAAAATTCAGATAATCCAGACCCATTCTTGCTGGAACTTGCAGCAGGTCAAATGCCAGAATCAAGCAACGTTTAGCTAGAAGTGACTGTTTCCAGTTTATAATCTTCCTGGAGTTTGGGTAGAGAGAGGCAATTATAACATCTTTTATAACATCCACAAACCATTGACCTAACAAAAGTTGGACTTGAGACTTTAGGATTCTCTTCTGGAATTATTATTTTGGTTTCTTAGTTTATGGCAAAGAATTGTTCTCCTAATCTCATTTTTTATCAGTTCTCGGTGCTTCCTGGAACCCCTAAACTACCACATACAGATCATAAGGGCATTCCAGAGAAGGTTAAAATTAGGTTCCAAAATGCAGAGGAAATGTGCCCAACTCCTGCACATGGAAACCACCATAATTTTGCCCACTGCAGCCTGAAATCTCCTAATTTCTTTTTTTCAGAAAATTGTCTACCTAAGAAAAGTACCTCTCACTTAAATAACTGTGACATCAGCATAAAAATAATGTAAAACCATTAAATATCTGTGGATGATATTCTAATGTAACTGACTTTGATGCAATTGGACAATTACCCTGATTTTGTGATGAAAGCTCTTACATTTTAGTATGGCGGTATCTTGATATGACCCAGCAATTATCGAAGAATACTTTTGACTCACTTCTTCTTGTATCTATAATTGAACATTGTTATAGAATATAGACATAATTTTGTCCTATATTATGTAGCCTGTATACATTTTGGCTTTGATTTAAAGGAACTTGAGAGTAGCAAGCAAAACTACTAGTGCAATCTCCGATAGGCACTGTAAAATAGGACATGCTCAGAATAGACGCCTTTGCACATAGTAGAAGAAATGACTAAACATAATACATGCTAGAAAAAAAATCAAAGCAATCCCACTGCAAGCCATTTAAAACATGTAGCACAAATGTAAAGCATTACAAGTGAATTAGCCACATAAATAAAGTCAAATTGCAGTCCACACAATTACTCTCAAAGGTCATTTTCATGGATGTTTAAGGTCAAAGATTACATTTTTCTATTCAAAATGAGCCCAAGTCCTGAAATAGATGACGACTGGAAACATTTAAGTTGCATAAAATCTTAAAATTTCTGACCATTCTTTTATTGAGCAATGGATTCTAAGTGATGGCATCTATTGTCAATGACTACTTAAGAAAAAGAAAAAAAGCAACTATTTCTGGAAGGGGTGGGGGGGGGAAACACCCAATGTGATTATCTTTTAAAGTAATATAAGAGTTGTGCAATTTTCTCCATTTTGACCCCCTTTTTTATTGCCTGTGGATTTTAAGCAAAGGCCTCCAATTTAAAACCTATTATTCCAAAGAAACAGCTTTTCATCTCCTCCCTGAGTGGGAACAGTCTTCCTCAAAGCTTTCTAAGATTATTTCCGAGCTTCACAGGGCTTAATACAGAGGAGATCTTTCCCTGCATTTGTGTCGTGCATGTTTTAATTAAATTTATATCCCACCCTACAACAAGGACTCTGGCTAATTTATGAGGAGGGTTATATATAAAATGTATAAAAATGTTAAAAGCTACGATCAGCAACAATAATAATACATTGTGTTACACAGTGTGTTATACACTCAGCAAGAGCCTACAAATTGAATACTACAGAGGGCCCGCCTAAGTGTCACTTTTCCCAATGTCTCCCATGAGTTATTGGGAAGGGTGAAATTACAGGGGCTCCATATTTTCCTATTTTTTTCCCCCACTTATCTAAGTGGTAGTCATTATTTCTACTTTATGAATTAGCAATTCATGCACTGCTTAATAGTACAGCTTTTGGCACCACTGCAGCCAGACAATTATGGATCGTAGTCATATATCACTTTTATCTATAATTTTCCGGAACGCTCCAGATATTAGATGAAATAACCACCACCTTTCTCCCATTCCCATACACGAATGGACAGCCCATTGACTGGCTCAGTAGAAGAAAAGGGCTGTTCTCCAAGATTCTTCCTCAGCGTAGTTTATCCTTGAAAATTATTACAGACCATTGTTGTCTAGGAGTTGTAGTCTACCCAGAAGTATCTCTACTAGTGGGGTATCTTAAGGGTTGGTGGTTCTACCCCTCCTCAAGAAGCCTACCCTGGATCCAGACTCACTTAATAACTATCGGACCGTCTCCAACCTCCGCTTTATAGCGAAGGTTGTTGAGACCGTAGTGGCGCAACAGCTCCCACAGTTCCTGGAGGAAACGGAGTACCTAGACCCATACCAGTCGGGTTTTCAGCGCGGGTACAGCACGGAAATGGCATTGATTGCTCTGGTGAATGATCTCTGGCGGGCCCGGGATGGAGGTTGTTCCTCCATCCTGGTCCTACTTGACCTCTCAGCGGCTTTCGATACCATCGACCATGGTATCTTACTGCAGCGACTTGAGGGGTTAGGGGTGGGAGGCACTGTTCTACAGTGGTTCTCCTCCTACCTCTCAGGTCACTCGCAGTTTGTATAGGCAGGGGGACAGAGATCCACCCCGAGGCCCCTAACTTGTAGGGTACCTCAGGGGTCGGTTCTCTCCCCCCTACTCTTTAACATCTATATGAAGCCACTGGGTGAGATCATTCGTGGTTTTGGGGTGAGGTATCATCAGTATACGGATGATACTCAGTTGTACATCTCCACCCCAGGCCACCCCAGGGATGCCCTTTCCGTGATGTCCCGTTGCCTGGAGGCGGTGCGGGCCTGGATGGAGAGGAACAGATTCAGACTCAACCCCTCCAAGACTGAGTGGCTGTGGATGCCGGCACCTCGTGTTTCAGAGGTCCCATCACTTTTGATGGAGGGGAGGTACTTGCCCCCGTAGAAAGGACCCGCAACTTGGGTGTCCTCCTGGATTCTTGGCTGTCTCTAGAAGATCATTTGACGGCCGTGACCAGGGAGGCTTTTGCATAAGTTCGCCTGGTGTGCCAGTTGCGCCCTTTCCTGGACCAAGATGCCCTTTGCATGGTCACTCATGCCCTGGTTACTTCTCGCTTGGATTACTGCAATTCCCTCTACATGGGGCTGCCCTTGAGGTACACCTGGAGGCTCCAGCTGGACCAGAATGCAGCCGCGCGGGTTGTTACAGGAACTTGTTACTCCCATGTAACACCTCTCCTGCGCGAGCTGCACTGGTTACCGGTGGTCCTCCGGATCCGCTTCAAGGTGCTGGTACTCACCTATAAAGCCGTACATGGCTTAGGTCCAGGGTACTTGCAGGACCATCTCCTGCCTGCCTCCCACCGTCCTGTCTGCTCCCACAGGGCTGCTCTCCTCAGGGTACCATCGACCAGACAATGTTGTCTGGCGACGTCCAGGGGTAGGGTGTTCTCTGTGGGCGCCCCTGCCCTCTGGAACAAGTTACCCACCGAGCTCCGGATGGCACCTGATCTCCGTTCCTTCCGTTGGGGCCTGAAGACTTGGCTATTCCAACAAATGGGCTGATTTAGATTCTTGGGTGTCATTATTTATTATCATTCGATTTTAACTGGTTTTAATTGGGTTTTTATTGTATGTTTTTATCTGTTTATTTGTTTTTACCTGTGTTCGCTGCCCTGAGTCCTTTCGGGAGAAGAGCGGCATATAAATACTTGCAAATAAATAAATAAATAAATAAAATAAGTATGGTTCCAGCAGATCCAGCTTTCAGGAGCAATAGTGTAGGATACAAGACGTTGCAGTTCAGTTATATCTACAGAAGTATTGTTTCTATATCCCTGCTTGAAAACAGTAGCATTTTTAAAACTCCTCTGCCTCATATATGGCTCAAGTATTTACATGATTTATTTTGAGCTGAGATCTTCCTTCTAGATGATAATGTCAGCCAGAATATCTGTATACCCAAGGAATGTCTGCACTGTGACTGTGGTATGTGCATGCATTTGTGTACACATGAACATGTGCTAGACAAATTGGGGTTTGCTTCTGATTGCCTAACAATGCTATGAGTGTCCAGGCTGAGTATTTGGCAGCATGTCCCTAAAGAAACGTCACTGAAATCTTAGGTGATGCTTTGGGCGTTGACATACGTGTTGGCCTTTTTATGCATTGGGATCTGGACAAGAGGTAATTAATTCACTTATTTCTAATTTCCTACTCACTCCCCCCCCTTCTTTCTCTTCTTTTTTTTGGCTAGATTGTTAACGTGACTGCTTGGAAAGCTATAACCTTTTCATCAAGTCCTGGATGATTATGGTGGGAAATGCCTGCCATTATAGACATCTCTTGACAGTTAGTTTACAATAGCCTGCTGCTTTGACCCGGCTCTCTGCCTCTTTCCATACCCATCAAGGCTTCTTGTCAAGAAAACATTGGTAAGCCGGGACACCTGAGCCATCCCAGATTCCTCTTTCTCGGCATTCCCTGTCCATCCAAAATTAATCTGGGAAACATTGTGAGATTATTTGAGCCCACTTATCCTATCTGTATCTGCTGTTTTTAACTGCTAAAATGAAGGTGTTACTAACTATTTTAACGATTTTTCATTTCTCATCTCAGCATTGCCAGGCTGAGAAAGTTTAAATGAAACAGTGCTGCTATTATTTGGATGATGATGATGATGATGATGATGATGATGATGATGATGATGATGATATGAATGTAACAGTACTACTGTACCATTTGTCCTGCTCAGAAGTATGCAAAATAAAAGCAGTTCACATTAAACAATGAAAGAAACCAAGAAAATGACCAGTTCTGAACAAAGTAATGTTAAAATTTTATATGATTTTAAAACAATATTTAAAAGGCAATCAGATCCTTGAGTTGTGGATATTCTACAAATATCCGGGGAATGGGCATTTCTTCAACTCTTATTTTAAACAGGGTGGAGGCAAGGGTAGCTGTCTTCTGAGACCCTGCCATTATTCTGTCATTAGGATATTAGCTTATCCTGTATACAGAGTAATATATAGAATAAAATTACTGGGTCATAAAAGAGAGTTTTAATTTGATCATTACCTATCATGGTTATCCAATCTTTTCTTTAAAACTTCCAGTGTTGGAGAATTTACAACTTCTGGAGGCAAGTTGTTCCACTGAACAACTTGTTAATTGTTCTAACTGTCAACTTTCATGGATGAGTCTGAGAACTAGGCTCAGGGCTGTGCTGCATGCCACACACTGTAGGAGAGGCAGAACCTGGAGTCAAGACAGGAATCAGCCTGGAGTCATTATGTTTTCACAAGCAGTCCAAGTCCCACCCCTTTTGAATTCTGTTAACTCTTATCTAGCACCAATTCAGTGCTGATCACTAGTTGACTAGATTCTTGTATATAGGCATGAGCAATAAATCAGTCTAATTAGAACTTAGCATGTGGTCCTGATTCTTCGTGCCTGACACAGACTGAAGCTGACTGAAATACTCTTCTCTGCCTTTGAGGCGTCAACCAAAGCATCCCAAACCTTAAATATCAAAATATGTTCCTGATGCATGATAAGAAGGCTGCCCATGCCTTCTTATTGCTCACTATTCCAAGTCATCTTGATGGGACACTCTTGAAAAAGTTGATTTTAGCATATACTATTTTACATTTCTTTATTCATCGGTCAGGTGTACAGGATGTAAACTAATTGCAGTATGTATACCTCACATATGCTCTATGCATGTCACATTCTCCAGCCTTTTGATCACCAACTACT